AAAAAAATTTACCGTTCACACAAAATAAAGGTATAGCAATCCAAACTACAGCACAAGTCTTGGAAAAGTCTACATTGGTATACCTAATTACAAGTATTGACAGCTATTTAGAACGCATGACACTGACAAGTATATGCGTAACACCTTCAACTTACACTTCAGACAGCTATGTTACAGGGATTGTAACGCGTCTTTATCCCCCAACATGGCTGACCCCGGTTTTATAATTTATGCCGACATCACGCGCAAACAAAGAATTGTAGGCCGTTATTCTATGATTGATTACTGAACAGGTAGATTTCATTAAAATTGTTTCCTCACTTGATCATTAAACAGTTCTTACATGTGTGTCTTGTTTTGAACACTTTTTAATTGATAACCTCAGAAACTTGAAAGCAAAGTTTGTCTCAGTACCACCTACGTCAGAAATGACCATGGCTGGCTGACCTGGAGCTTTCACGTCAGCTTCAGAATTATACCTTACAGGGAGAGGGTGGGGAAGGGATTGGGAGAGAAGTAATACGAAGGACCTTAATCCTTAATACAATAGGTCTGTGTTGGTGAATGTGGTTTTATTTTGGGACACCTAACTATCATTCAAGAGAAAATAAAGGAATATTTTTTCTATTGCTATTGTAGAATGGGATATTTACATTGAGATAAAGATCGTGGATGATAAAACCTTTTTTTCTTTTCGAATTTCGAGTGACCAGAGAATATCTCGCAGTTATCATTCAAATGCAGTTTCTTCCTATAAAGTGAGGTGACGGTGCTCATGAAAATCTGATATTCAGAAGATGACTCAGGCCCCGTCCACACGTATCCCGATAGTTTTGAATCCGCAAGTTTTTCTTTCCGGATACGAAAATATCCGCGTCCACATGTTATGTGATCACAGCGTATTCAAATCGCATTCGCCCGTCCACACGTATCCGGATTCACTCCGGATTCACTCCGGATTCACTCCGGATTCACTCCAGTACCCAGGATGACTCTATATATATATGACATATATTGGTTACGGAGCATGCGCGGCGGCATTTAGCGGCCGCGGGAATTCGATGTTTCAGTTTGCGTTCAAATAGTTAATGACTTGTCGAAATCAGGCAAGAAAGCTAAGAAGAATGAGGGGAACAACCCAGAATCATTCATATGGAGCGACGACGAGGTAGAGTTGTTATTGTACGTGACAATATAGTACAAAGCTGCAAAATCTATGGAGAACATTGACTAGATAGATAGATAGCTTTATAGATAGCTTTCTTAGGAAGTAAAATCATTGCAGCCCCCGGGCCGGACATGCCATTAGAGACAGCGCGTCACCCAAGCCGAGAATAGACTGGACACTAAGAAATAACTCAGAGGGAGTTGGTACCTAGTCATCATATGTGCGCCTCCTTGTTAAAGCCAAATTGCGGGAAATTGAAATTCCTGAATAAAACAAAGCGGTTCGATACCCTTGAATGATCCTGACTTTTTCACTGTTGATCTAATGGAAATAAATCCTAATGCAATTCGCAGAAGACAAATGCTCCACGCCTTCAAGGCGGAGATGGAGTGGTTTGCGAAAGGCTTTTATCAGCCAAAAACTAAGCGTGGGATATCCGCAACAACTATTGGTTCATTTCAAGACATGATATAGGATAAACCCTTCGACGATCTTCTACCAACTTAGGGTGAGTAATTTTTTTTCCATTTGGAGCTACATATTAGCTCTTGAAAGGAGACAAACCAACTTCACCTTAATTCGAAAAAAGGGTCACAAAGGCTGAAAAAATCTTTGCAGATAATCCGGTCGTGACCGGAAATTACTATTGCGGGATTGATGTAACGCTTTCACTTTCTGAAACATCATCTACGGGACTATAATTGAGAACTCACTTAAATATCCAGATCCCAGTTGGCTTGATAGCTGAAATGGTAGAGCACTGCACCGGCAAATTAAAGCAAGGGTCAGGGCTCATAACGTTCAAAACCTCGATGATCTACAAAATTTGACTTGAGACTAGAGCCAATATAGACCATTGAAGGAGTACATTATAGTAATATTTCAGAAGTTTTTTTTTTCATCATCAATAGCGAGAAAAAAAGGATTTTGAGACAATAAATCGGTTGAAAGCCATTCACGCAGCTCTCCATCACGTTCCTTCCGCAGTATCAGTGGCAAGAGGGCTTGCTGTGGTTGGCAATGATCATCAATATCTAAAAACTAAAATCTACCCTTCAAATAAGATTGCAGAGAAACAACAGCGTTTCTTTTCCACGAAAAAAAAAATGAAAACTCCAAAAGAAAAAACCTGTAATTTCTCAATCTA